TTTGTCTCTCAGAGGGTAAAATGCTTTTGCTTTCTTACGGCTACTAACTACCCCACTTTAAGACAATTTTTACATATGGCTGGTACATTAGTTTCATAGGGCTGTTGTAACGAAGTACCACAAACATGGTGGCTTAAAACAATAGAAATTAATTTTCTTACAGTTCCGGAGGCCAGAAGTCCAAAATCAAGGTGCCCACATGCCTATGTTCCCTCTAAAGGCTCTGGCAAAGAAACCTTTGCTGCCTCTTTCCTAGATTCTGGTGTTTGTGGTAATCTTTGTCATTCCCTGGTTTGCAGCTTAAGAACTCCAATCACTACCTCCATTGTCACATGATCTTCTTCCCTGTGTGTCTTTACATTGTCTTCTTGTAAGGGCACCAGTCACTGGATTTGGGCCCACCCTAACTCAATGTGTCTTGGTTTTAACTAATTATATCTGCAAAGATCCTACTAGCAAATAAGATTACATTCTGAGGTTCTGGGTGGACATGAATTTTGGGGGGGACAGTTTTCAACCCAATACAGCTGGGTTCATGGATCACAGTTAAGATTTCATGAAGTCCAATTCTTCATTGTAAATAGGTCATATTTGGTGGTTAAAGGACAGAAATTTATTCAAATTAGCTCAAGTAAAAGGGGTTTTACACTAAGGCAATAATTCTTATGGAATCCAAGGAAAACTGAACAATCAGGACAAAAACTGGGGAACCTCAGGTTTCCTTAGCATATACATATGTAGAGAGCTAAAGTCCTTTTGCTATTTTAGCATTGACATAACTCAGATAAAAATTCCATAGTTGCTGAGTCTTAGTTCACAGCCTCTCTCATGATATATTGTTTGGCTCAGCTCAGCCTATAGACTGCATTTCCTTGGGTCAGTTGTCACTGCAGGCACAGTTGTGGGGTGTTTGTGGGTAGCTGGATAGGGTAGAGAGAGATTTTAGGGCAGGGCTAGAAGCAACTCTCTTAAAAGGGTTTGCTGGAGGATGGGCAATGCTTATTGATAGGGATGTGTTGTCCCCACCAAAACTCATGTGGAAATCTGATCCCCAATGTGGCAGTGTTGGAAACTGATTGAGTCATGGGGGCGGATCCCTCATGAATGGATTAATGGTCTCCCTGGGAGAGGGTGGCCTGAGTGAGATCTCACTGTATTAGTTCCTGCGAGAGCTTGTTGTTTAAAAGACCCTGGCATCTCCTCTCTCTCTTGCTTCCTCTCCCCATGTGATCTGCTTGTACCCACCAGCTGCCTGCCGCTTTCTGCCATGAGTAGAAGCAGCCTGAGGCCCATGCCAGATGCAGCTGTCCCAGAATCGTATGCTAAATAAACCTCTGTTCTCTATAAATTACCCAGTCGCAGGTATGTCTGTTATAGCAACACAAACAGACTAATACTTATCCTCCCCAATACATTTGATAAATGAATCTATTCTGCTTTACTGTAGAAAAAAGTATATGGCATAAATTTACTTTATTAGTTATTTAAAATCATATAAAACAATAGGAGGCTGACATCTCAAGCTTTATAACAGAAACACACTGTAATCTGATTGTTGGAAGTTTACCCTGAAAACTCTTTCAGTCCTATAATCATTAACCATCCTAATACCAGCAACTTGAGGGAAGACTGAAAAGTGGTATTTGTACAAAATATAACTCCAAATAATTTCTCATGGTACTATCATTATTAGAAAAAAAATTATCACGGCAGCAGAATTTATTTTACTTTGGGATACAATTTCAAAAATATTACATTATAATATTAATGTTTTGGAAATTTCTTGTGTTTGTTTTTATTTTTTTCTTTTCTGGATCTTGGGTGCCCTGATTGGATTAATTATAATCCTTGGGTTATGACCACGTCTCTGATTGATCCATGGATTGTCCTCATTCATTCATCCATTCATTCATTCATCATATAATGCATATATGTGAAGCCACCACTCTGCCCAAGAACAAAGCTTTAACAAGAATATATCTACCTATATATTCATTCTCCCATCTTGTCCCACTGTATTCTCTGCATCCCCTTATACTCTAGGGGTAACCACTATTCTGAACCTTACTTTTGTTTTTTTGTTTGTTTCTGGTGGCTGGCTGGTACCATGAACCTGGCTTTTGAACTTTATAAAAAGGTTATTAATGGCCAGGCACCAAAAAAAAGAAAAACGAAAAGTTATCACATTATATTACTAAGATTTATCCATGTTGCTTATATCTCCAGTTTCTTTCATATTTGAAAATACTTAGTTTTATTTTTGTTGATGTTGTTGGCTGGCCAGGCAGGATTCTGAACCCTTGACCTGGGTGTTACAAGGTTGTGCTCTAACTGACTGAGCCAACCAGCCAGTCAAATATTTAGTTTTAGTTTGCTGTCCCTGCTTATTAAACAATACTTAATTTTGATGAAACAACTTTAAGAAAGCTAATATAAGTAACTATATTAGTCTGCTTGTGCTGCCATAACAAAACAGCTTCCAAAATGGGGTTTTTTGAAGGTTGCTACTCATAGGACATAAATTATATCACTTTGCTTAAAATAGTCTAATAGTTCCCCACCTTAGAGTAAAAGCCAAGACCAAAAAGGCTATACATGATCTGTACCCCCCTTCTCTACCTCATTTTCATATACATTTTATCATTATTTTGGTCTCTCTCTTCCCAAACAAATTAAGCTCCACCAGGAGGATAGGCAGGATTTTTGTCCCCCTCCCCTCTACCAAATTTTTTTTCCTCTGTGCCCAGTACAACGCCTTACATAGTAGACCCTCTTTAAATAATTGTCACATGAATGAATGTATCTTTTTGCATTTACTGTATGTGAAAACAAATGTTTAAGAAAATAAGTAAACAGGAATTCTAAAGAGTATTGTATAAATCACATTCATTTATGTATTGAAATCCTCATGGCTTACTATCTTTAGAGTGCTTACAAAGTTGTACAATATTAGCGAAATAACACTGTATAAAGTTAAATTTTGGGGCATATACAAAACTCCATTTAATAATGGGTAAGTTACTGAGGGTAAGAATGAGAAAGAGTACCTTTTGTTATTTAGATATAGCAAATAAAGAAACACCAAAAGTAAAAGAGAGAGCCTAAAAAAGAGAGTAACTTTTGGTCCACTTAATAGTTTGGATGAGGACAATCTTAAACGGATTTTGCCTGGTATTCTCAATGCCAAAGAACAAAGCATTGACCTTGGGGCAGAGTTCTCCCAAATTAGCAAATGTGGAGTGTTAGATACCAAGATAATCATTTTCTTGTGTAACACCTGAAAAACAATTGAGTAAGTTGCAGTAACTTTACTCTTTCTAGCATCAAGTTAAAGGATGTGGGGAAAAAACAGACCAATGGATGTTCATCAAAAATAACATGAATAAACAATCAAATATCATTTTAAACTATGGTAGTGGTCAGTTTCAAGAGCTGAATGCCATATTATTGTATCCTTTTCTCAACTACATTTTCTGATATTGTTTGTACTCTTGAGATTCATTTGCTTTAACTATTTACGTTCAATTGCTCAAACACTGCTGCACTTTTTCCTTGACAGTTGTTTTCTCTTGGATGAAAGAAAAAGTTAACTCTTGGTATGCTTAAAAAAAATTTTTTTTGGACGGTACAGGGATCCGGACCCTTGACCTTGGGGTTATAACATTGCGCTTTACCCAGCTGAGCAAACAGGCCAGCCCCCATCAATGTTTTTTGTATTTTTCTTTTTTTTTTTAAACAAATTTCTTCCATATTCACGAGAAGAACCATCTAGCTACTTTGTAAAAATGCTTGCTTACTTCTGGGTTGTATTCTCAGAGATTCTGGTTCTGTAGGCTTGGGAGTGGAAACCTACGTTTTCAGCCAATACCCGAAATGACTGTGAGGCCAGTGATCCAAAGACCATACCTTGAGAACTACTTGACTCAATGCTGTTTTCATATTTTGCAGCTTTCAAAATATTAATTTTAGAAACCTAAGGTGGGGGAGGAGCGAACTCGGGTGGCTGTCAGAAAACACAGGAATGAACAGCCCACGTTGAGCCATGTTGCGAAACTTTCAGTTTGTCCCTGGGGAGGAAATCAGTTATTTTCACCGGGTAGTTAACCATGTTTCAATCAGTTACCTCCACTTCCCTCAGGATGACCCCAAAAGTCATGAACTCATCTCCGCGGCGAAAGGTAACAGTCTCTCCGCCCTGCGTGCCCTCGCAGGGCCGCGGGGACCAAGGTTCGCTTCCCGCCACCCGGGCTCCTCCTCCGCTCGCCCTCTTGGGTCGGGTCCTCCCGGAGGCGCCCCGCGCGGCAGGTCTCGGCGCCAACCGGGTGGCGGCGCTGTCTGCCCCGCGTGCGGCCGCCA